AATCATTACACTGAGCTGGCCTGGTAGTCAATAAGTCGATTTCCATAGGGATTACAACCTCAACTTTGTAGGCTAGGGAGAATGGGGTCTCTCCAGTGGTTAAGCTGGGCATAGTACGACACGACCAAAGCACTTTATTGAGCTCGTCAACCCAATTAGAGTGTGTGGCTAGGACACGTGCATTAAGGCCACGTAGGACAATTTTATTAGCTGACTCTGCTTGTCCATTTGACTGAGGAGTGTAGACGAACGTGAGAGAGAGTTCAATGTCATAATCATCACAAAACGACTTGAGCACTACAGCTCGAAATTGAGGATCGTTATCAACAATGATTCATTTAGGAATAACGAATCTACACAATATAGAATTGGCTAAGCCATAAAATGTGTGCACATGTAATGCATATATGGTTTGACCAATTGAAAAGTACCTACACAATACAAAATTGAACAGAAACTCTTTTATTTTCTTTTCAGTTGTTGTGGACAATGGCTTAGCCTCTATCCATTTAGTAAAGTAATCCATAGCAACGATGAGATGTGTACAACCTCCTTTGCCCTCAACGAAAGGACCGAGTAAATTTATTCCCTATTAGACAAATAGCCAAGGCGACGAGAGAGATGACAACATTTCTCTTGTATCAAAAGAGGTATTCATGTTTATCTTAGAGGCAAATGTGGAGTTTATGCACAAATTTTTGAACGAGTTCAAGTACCTGGCATGTGAATGTCGTTAGCATTAAAATGGCAGGTTGGACATTTTTTGACATAATTTTGTGCATCGTCAACCATATTAGGCCAATAATATCCATGCCTTAGAAATTTTTGAGCTAACGTTTTTCCACCTATATGTGTGCCACAAACACCTTCATTGACTGCCCTTACAACGTACTCAGCTTCGCAAGGAGTGACACAATGTAATAGGGGCATTGATATTGCCCGTTTATACAACTAACCATCAATCAAGTTGAAATGGGCTACTTTGCGCCTAACCAGTCGAGCCTCAAATGTGTTCTCAGGCAATTTACCACTTTGAAAGTAATTAATTAGGGGTGTGGTCCAGCTCGGTGATGAGGGATCAGTACTTAGCACTTGACATTCTGGTATAAGGTCATCATAGCTTGGTGCGTCAAGTATCTCAATGAATGTTGTCCTTTGAGAGTTAATATCTTGTGATGAAGATAGCTTGGATAATTCATCAGCCTGTTTGTTATCTGCCATCGGTATCTTATCTATCTGAAATGAGACAAATCCTATCTTCAACCTATTGACCACAAAGGAGTAACGGGTGAGTTGAGGGTCTTTAATATCGCAGTTGCCATTCATGTGATGTACAACAAGCTAGGAATCACTAAAGACTCTTATACTTTGTACTTTGAACTCGGATGCTAATTCTAGACTGTAAATGAGTGTTTCATACTCAACGGCATTATTGGTTGTTTGAAAATTGAATCTCAAAGCATGCTCAGTTTTAAAACCATCCAGGCCTATCAACACTGCTCTTGCCCCTGATCCCTCGACACTTGTAGCTCACAGTGCCTCTAATCCCTTGCCTCTAATCCCTTGACAATGTAGTTTCTTCCACAGCCACCAGGTGGCACTCCATTAAAAAATTGGCTAAAGCTTGACCTTTAATGGTCATACATGGTTCAAACTTGAGGTCATACTTGCTCAGCTCGGCCGCCCACCCAATTAGCCGACCAAAAAGCTTAGGTTTTTGTAATATTTTCCTTAGTGGCAGGTCAATAAAAACAATAATCTCATGAGATTGAAAATAGGCCCTTAACTTTCAAGCGGTGCAAACAAGGGCGAAAGCAGCTTTTTCAACAATTGGGTAGTTCTACTCTACACCTTGTAGGACCTTACTTGTATTACAGATGGGTTTCTGGTGTTTATCCTACTCCTTTAACAAGATCGAGTTGATTGCCTCATCTGTAATTCCCAGGTACAAATATAACTTCTCGCCTTCAACAGGTTTAGAAAGCAAAGGTAGTGATGCCAAGTATTGTTTGAGTTCGTTAAAAGCTTGTTGGCATTTGTTAGTCCATTGGAAGTTTTTGGGCTCTCTTAAAGCTTTAAAAAATGGGAGACATCTTTCTGTCGACTTGGCGATGAATCTATGCAGAGCAACAAGGCGACTCGTGAGACGTTGCACATCCTTTACTATTTTAGGAGGTTTCATTTGCTGCACGGCTTGAACCTTATCAGTTCCCTTTTTGGATACCACATATCCCATAAATTTGCATGATTCCACAACAAACATACACTTCAAGGGATTTAACTTCCTCCATGCTTGGCGCAAATTCTGAAATATTTCATTGAGGTTGTCAATATGATCTTCAGCTCGTAAATTGGTAACAATCATATCATCAACATAAACTTCAATATTTCTGCCGATCTGAAGCTTAAATACAACCTGAACTAATTTTTGATAGGTGGCCCCAGCATTTTTCAATCTAAACGGAATCATAACGTAGTAGTATATAGCATCACCTGCATAAAATGTCGTTTTCTCTTGGTCGTCCAACCGTAGTTGCACTTGATGGTATCCCAAACTGGCATATAGAAAACTCATGCACTCATGACCAGCTGCACACTCTACTAATTTCTCCACATTAGGCAAAGGATGTGGGTCTTTGAGACATGCCTCATTTAAGTTTGTGAAGTCAATGCACATCCTCCACTTGCTGTTAGGCTTTTTAATGAGCACAAAGTTGGATACCCATTGTGAATATTCAACCCGCCTAATGAAGTCTGCTTGCAATAACTTATGTATTTGTTCATCTGTAACATCTTGCTTTTCAGGGCCGAAAAGGTAGCATTTCTGAACCACTAGTTTCTTTGTAGGATCTGTACTAAGCTTGTGAATTGCAAATTCTACTGGAATTCCTAGCATCTGATCTGTCATCCACATGAAAACATCCTAGTTGGACTTCAAAAATTCCAAGAGCTCAGTTCTTTCTTCCACTATGAGTTTGGTTCCAATTTTCATTGTTTTCTCCAATTCAATCAAGATTTAAAGGAACTGTCTCCACCTATTCTACTGGCTCAACCTTTTGTTCTATGTTCTCAAGTTGGTGATCTATGTCAGACATGCTCATTGTTTGTAAGCCTGGCTAGTTCGGCCTGGGAACTTGAGAGGAAGAGGTCTTTGGCACCACGACGAGCTTGACTTTCTTGAATGTATCTTGGTATCACGCTCTAGCCATTTTCTGGTTTCCCTTAAGTACTCCTATCCTTTGAGGAGTTGGAAACTTCATATAAAGATATGGTTGGGAAATGACAACCCTTAATTCATAAAGTGTAGCTCTTCCGATTATAGATTTAAAAGCTGATTCCATTTTAACTACTAAGAAGCTCACTGAGTTCATCCTAAATCGCGGTTTCATTCCCACGTAGATGGGAAGAATGATCACCCCTTCAATAGGGATGGGTTGGTTGTTAAATTCATATATTGACCCTTCATATTTTTTTAAAGAAGTTGGATTCAACTGCATCTTTTGAAAGCAACTCCAATATAAAGTGTTCAAGGAGCTTCTGATATCAATGAAGACTTTGTTAACATGTGATTGCCTATGTGGATGGTTGCCACAAATGGGTCAGCGTCGGGCATCATAATATTAGGCTCTCCCTCTGGTCGCTTGTAGTCAATAGGGCTAAATGTAATGGGTGTGCTTTCCCATTTCACTTCCTCAAATGGTCGCTTTAGAGGCCTATTTTTATCCATACTCATTACCTGACGAGCATAGGCTTTGCGACCTCAGGCACTTTAACCTCCTGAATGCATGCCACTAGAAATCATATTTATTGTGCCTGAGGATAGAGGTATTTCGATGTAGCCTATCCCCCTATTATCTTTTTGGTTCTGGGCTGTAATCCTCTGCCCCTGCCCTCGCCTAGCGTGTTGGCGTCCTTTGTATGCTCTGCCGAGCTCAGAAGAATATTGATTCCCTTGATACGTGTTTTGATTGTTGCTGACCTGATGTCCCTGTCCGTGTGGTTAGCTGTAATCCTAGACGTAGTGAGTTTGGGTTGGTTGCTGGGGGAACGACTTTTGAATATGTTCTTCTAGTTTTTCATTCTGAGCTAAAAATTTCAGCTCGTCCTTCAAACTTTGGCAGTTGTCTGTACTGTGGCCATACTCACGATGGTAATCACAATATTTACTCTTGTCTGCTCAGGAGGAGTCATGGAGAGGAGGAGGTGGCCTCTTGATCTAGTGTTTGATCTGTGCCAAAATTTGAGATCTCGACGAGCTCAAAGGGATATAATTAGCATATTTGGGGAAAGCAAGCAGTTTTCATTGCTGATCAAAAACTTTCTATGTTTTCTTTTCTTCCTTTCCTTCTGGCTGTTTGTGCTCTTTATTCTGCTTGTCATCAGCTCATCGTTTGGATGACTGAAAGTCTTTCGATAAGATGAAACTTGTGGACCTGTCATTCACTTCATTCCATGACTTTGGTGGGTTTTTTAACAGGTCATTAAGGAACTGACCAGGTTAGAGGCCATGCAACAAGGCAGATAAGCAAGTGGTGTTAGGGACATTGTCAATGTCTAGGGTGGCCTTGTTGAACCATTGCACGTAGTCCCTTAAGGACTCTCCTTCCTTTTGGTGAACTTGCATGAGCTCGGTAACAATGTGTTTTATTTCTCGTTGGCTCGTAAATTTGTTAGAGACCAAAGTAGCGAGCTAGGAGTAGGAGGTTATGGAATGTTTGGGAAGCTTGTGATATCATCTTATGGCAATCGACTTCAAGGTTGCAGGGAACACTTTGCACATCATAGCATTAGTAGCATTTTGAACTTTCATGATGGCATGATAGGTATGCAAGTGTTCGTCTGGGTCACCAGAACCATCATATGTTTCTAAGTGAGGAATCTTGAACCCCTCATGATATGGTTCTACTGTAATGGATAGGTTGAAAGGGGCGCTATCTAAATCAAGGGCCTATTGGCGTGACCTCGGACTTCTTAGCTCATCAATAAACTTTTGTATGTCTTTAGCTGTCTTTCGAGGTTTGCATTCTTCCTCATCAACTCCTCATTGTGCTTTGATGAGCTAGGCTCGGGATTTGACTTCCCACTTCCCCTCGGCTTGGTCAGCACTACTACATTGCTCAAGGCCGAGGAATTGTGAGTTGCAATTTCTACAGGCTGCTCACCCCTATTCAACAGAGGAATTAGTGGGTCATCAGGGATCAAGTGGGAGAGTATTCTTCCCATAGCCATTTCTAGGACCCTAGTTCTTTCCTCTTGCTCGAACGTCAGAGCAATTTCCATCGATCATTCACGTTATGACGTGTTATGCACGAGATGCCTCTGTCTCGCTCCTATTGGGATCTACAACTGCTTTTCGGCTAAGTTGCTTACCCAGTTGGTGTTCTTTCATCATTTAAACCACTCATCTGTTCTCCTTCTGATCCTTCTACAAAGAGGTTTCTCGACATTGATTGGAAGTCGCTCAGGCCAAGTCCCGAAAGCTGGGTGTTGTCTTGATCGTCCATCCTATTCCTCTGAGGGGGCAGTTCCCAATAAAAGTGCGTACCATGTTTAACATTAATAGTAGCAACATTGCTTCTTTGATTAGTTTCCCACAGACGACGCCAAATGTTTGGGCAGCTTCACAAACCTACACTGTAGAGATCTTTAACTACTTTAACACTTGAAAAACCTGAGGATGTTTCCTCGGGGAAAGCACTCCGACGCTTAAGTTACCAATACTCAATATTCTAGAGAGAAGCTCTCAAGAGTAATTGCAGAGAGAGAAGTGTAGTGGAGTTATTACCTTGAGTGGAGGTAGGTGGGGGTATTTATACCCTCGAGTGATGACATGAGTTCATACATGTAAGCGTCCAATTGGTCCATGTATAAGCACCCACGTGGGTATGTATGAACTGCTGTATGGATATATGTTCATTTTAGGCTTAGGGATAGACAACTGGGCCTACTGTACATGGCCCAGGTTGAATGCTGAGTCCATTCCCAACAGATGTATTGTAAATATTTTATTTTTTAGAATATTCTCTTTGTATACTTTATACCTTAGAATATTCTCTTTGTATACTTTATACCTTAGAATATTCTTTTTATAAACACTATATATAGATCATTGTACATACAGTATTATTCAAAAAAGTAATAAACCTTTCTTCAAATATTTCTCTTTCTTTTCTGTTTCTAACACCTGTGATATCAGTTAATCAATTGGTGGAGGCTAATGGATTGTTGTTTGGATTCCCAACAAGGTTTTGGTCCACGGCAACTCAATTGACGGTATTTGTCAATTCAACATTTCTTTTTTTGTGAGCAGCAGAAGCTTGCAGGGTTCCTGCTGGGTTCTTTGTGAGTACAGGGTACTGGGACGTAAGGTGGTGGTCAATAGAATACTACGTAGGTATAGCTTCTAATCTTACTTTCACATTTTTGTTTTTTTGAGGAACTAGTTTGTGGTTGATACTAATGCTGATTGTTTTGGCAAGATTTGTTGGTCTCAGTATTGTGGTCTTCTTGATGCATTTTCTTCTGTTTCTCTAATATAGATAATTTATCATGGAGACTATATGGTGTTTAGATTAGCATATGCTTTAATTTTTAGTTTAAACATTTCTTAACATGACATGGTCTCGAATCTTGGTATCTCATTTTTTCTAGTTAACATTACATTTCAGTCTGAGGTATATATGTGGCAGGCTTGTGCTTTGTCCATTTTTTGAATAGCTGAAGTCAGTAGAATACCACGGTAGGTCTTTACAGAGTACATAAACATTACACACATCTCCACCCTTTGTTGAGTTAAGAACTGCTTGGAATAGTTTAGGCACGATGTGGTTGTTGATCATGCGGTTTGCAAGTTCTTGAATACAAAACAGGGATCTGATAAAAAAAATTAAAAAAAAAACAAAACAAAAAAAACCATTCTCTAAGGCTCCAAGTAGTGAGTAGACATCTTTGGCCAAACTCCCTATAATCTTAGAACACCGTTACTTCCATTTCCCAACCTTTTTAAAAAGGTTAAACCCCTATTTTGGTCCCTGAACTATTGTACAGACCCTCGATTTGGTCCCTGAACTAAAGAAATCCGTAATTTGGTCCTTGAACTATTGTACGGACTCCCAAGTTAGTCCCTAAACTATTGTACGGATGCCCAATTTGGTCCCTACTGTTTACCAATTTAACCCCAACTTGGTCCTTCTGTTAAATAATAGTTTAGGGACCAAATTGGGGCGAAATTGTAAACAGTAAGGACCAAATTGGGGGTCCGTACAATAGTTCAAGGACCAAGTTAGGCCAAATTATAAACAGTGGGGACCAAATCAAGGGTCCATACAATAGTTTAAGGACTAAATCAGGGATTTCTTTAGTTCAGGGACCAAATCGGGGGTTCGTACAATAGTTCAGGGACCAAAATGGGGATTTAACCTTTTAAAAACAATTTCAGCAACTCCATTTCAGCCAAAGTCCCTATAATATTAGAGAATGGGCACCGTGCTTTCATTCCTTGCATTTTTTAAAACCATTTCATCAATACTATGATCCTCCAATGATATCTTGAGAAATTTTGATTGAGAAACTAACTCCAGAAAAGTGCAAAACACTTGTCATTCTTGTGGGATAACAATGACAAGCAAATAAACCACATATATATGGAGAAAATGCGAACCATAAGGTTCTCAAGTTTCAGCAAGAAACAAGAGGAAGTAATATTATCATTTAAAATTTCATTTTAAATGGCAAAACCAGGGTTTGTAATTAAACATTTAGTCAAAGATGGTAGTGTCAAATCCATTACAAACTTTAGAATGAAAGTAATCAAGAGAGAACTTAACCAAAATGCAGACAAAGAACCGACAATCCATAAACAATCTCAGCATTACAATCTATCACCAAATTGAACCATTAAATTGGGATTGAACCAGGATAAAGGGGATCCTACGTAGAATCAATCCCTCAAATTTGATACACCCTCCCCAAATTAATGATAGTACTTAGATCAGCTAAGAATTTCTTGTGCATTTCCTTGAAATTTTGAGTACAAAGCTTTAGCTCTCCTCCAAGTTACAAAATCCTCATGCTTTCTCTTCTCATATATATGACAATACCTAGATTTGCTAAGAATTGCTTGTATTTCCTTGAAGATTTGAGTACTAACTACAAATTTTCAACTCTCCTACAAATTAAAATATATGCCTTCTCCCTTCTCTTCTAGCTCTTACCCTTCTTCGGCAAGTAAAAAAAAATAAAAATAAATAAATACAAGTTCCAAGCTCCTAGAAAATCTGAAATGTCTCAATTTCAAGCTCCCAATCTTCATACAATGAAAGAAAAAGAAGCTTTGAATGAGAATTTAAAGTAAACTTGGTCTTTCAAACTAATTAACATCCCACTAGGAAAACTCCTAAATATTAGTCTCTGATAACATAGGAATTTCTTTTTATAGCATCCAAATGGTATTATGTTTACGTATAGTATAGGTAGAAAAATTGATGCTACTCTAAAATTTCTTTCAAGAATAATTTTGCCTTTTGAGTTTCTACCTCTAACTACTGTGGAAGAGATATTAGGCATATTGAGGTTCAATGCTCTTTTACTTCAGGTTGTGTTATGTAACCTATCTGTTGGTTTTTTTTTTTTTTTTCACAAAGACATAAATGGAGAGAAGATCGACAGTAAGATGAAGAGCACAGCATAAAATAACATGGAGAGAAGTATAATACTCCTCTCCATTTTATGTGTTTTGCTCTTCATCTTCTTCTCCCGAAATTCTCTCTATATTCTTTGAAAAAAAAAACCAACACTATCAAAGTTCATTCCTTATCAGAACTGTTATCTTGCACCTCTTTGGCTCCACCTGCAAATAGATTCTTCGACATATGCATAAATTCTCCAGGTTCTCTCTTGGGAAATTGGGCATCGCCTTGATTGTCTACCTTTTTCGTGGTTGGTTTTCTATGAAAGGTCGCACCATGGTTCATAAAAAATCATAGAGCTGTAAGGTTGTTTAGTCAACTTCCCACAAACGGCATTAATTGTTTGGGTAGTTCCATGAGCTCTAACACTATTGAAATCTTGTTTTATTTTATACTTGAAAATCCGAAGGAAGTGCTTCAAGAGAAACACTCTGATATTCAAATTAGTAATAATCAATAATTGTTTAGAGAAAGACTCTCTCAAAAATAAAATATTACAGAGAGAGAAATGTAGTTGAGTTATTACCTTCAATAGAAGTAGAAGAAAGATATTTATAGCCCTGATTTATTTTATTGTTACCACATGTCATTGCTTGATTGGCCCACATGTTGTTGGTCACATGAGTAATTTTCCACTACTCATTTGTATCTTGGGGCTCTTATTGGGACTTTAGTTAATGTTGGGCAATTCCTCGAGAAAAGGGAAGTAAGAAACTCACCTACACAGATCGTTTATGTATCAAATAAAA